GTAGAGATCATTCATCCCCACTCAATTTGAAGTATATAAGACTGATCAAGCCTTAGATAGTGAATAATCCTTTATTCACGACACTTTCTAGTCAAGGATAAAAATATTTTAATTATTGATTCCTTGATTCTTCCTATAAACTTATTAGAAGTAGTTTCAATGCACTAAATTAAAGTTTTCATAAAATATAGTTAAATAAAATCATGTTTCAAACCGGAGTGGCAAGTAAATTACGGCTCAATTTTTACCATTAAGCAAACAGTTTAAAAATGTTCCCACTTACTTGTACTGAAAGTTCCGCCTCAGCCACTGCCAGTTTCTCCTTTTTTGGAGCGACTATCTTGGCTACACGATCATATTTGTCAAGTGCAATGATCCATTTACATAGACCTTCACAAGCAGTACTTGCATTTCGCACAATCTTTGGGTCGAAATCAGTGTTAGGTATATATATGTCACGGATTTTTCTCATGACATTAGCGGGGATACTGTCAATGTTAAAATTTCTCAATCTATCCAAGAATTTCAAATCTCCTAGTAACTTCAAGGAAGGTCCCCAAAAGTCCTCTATCATACGTCCAAGACTGCTGTCCGGTTTTCGATCGGGTTTTTCACCAAGCATTATGCACACGGCCTCCATAACGAGTTTGACGACACTTGGAGGATTTTTCATTGACTTCACCAAAGTAATATCCTGAAAAACAGAATGTTTAGTCAAAAATGAAGTATATGTATCAGGTTTATCGAAGTTTTTTAGTCGATTATGCATGAATGCTTGTGTTCATGTTAAAACAATCAATAGCTATTCATCCAACTTTTTTAATTTATAAAAGTAAGTCAGTCAATCTTTGGCGAAAATGAATATATTTTGTCAAATAACTATGTAAATATAAGAAAAAAGTATATTTTATATATTTAGGATAAAGTTTTAAATAAAAATCAAGTTGCCAAAATTTCCAATCATAGTTGGGGAAATAGATTAAATAAAACCTTTAAAAAATAGGATCTTTAATCATTGAGCATAAGAAAAATAATTCAAAGAAGATAAATCATTTTGTGAATATAACTTCAGCTTCAAAGCCCTGTACTAAATTGTGTAATGTAAATAGTGGCCATTTTTGCCTAAAAAGTTGACATATAAATTCATCAATTCAATTAGAGAACAATTTCATTACGGCTACTTCAATGGAAATAACCTCGAAAATTTCGATTCTCGGAATTCCATGCAATATTTGCAGGTCTCGTAAGAAAGGTGCTAAAAATAATTATATATTTTTAAAGTTTTTTAACAAAAGATTATAATATTACTCACAAGTAGGAATAATTAAGAATACTTAATGTGATCGATGCAAACACTGCTATGACCAAATATATTTAGCAACAACTTTATAAGTAACCTCTAAAAAGATCTTAATAAGAAATTTTAGCTGTCTGTATTTCCGCCGATTCATCGAAAACTAATTTCTACCATAGCAAAATAGAAAAGAAGAATGGATTTGGAAAATTTGATCAGGATGATCATGCAAAATGAATTACAAGATTTCCCGAAGCTGCTGATTTCGATCTACAATTCTGTTAAAATCACATGGCTGGTGTGCGATGGCTTACAAAGATGATTAAAACCTCGAGATAAAGTGATATAGATGCTAAAATCTAAGATACGTATAAGATTATGGGAAATTCGTTAAATTTTTAAAGTGGTATTTACCCCGTTTTATATAGGGTGATGTATGATTTATAGCTGAATCTTGCCTAAATCGTGCGAATAGGCCTTATGTTTCTATTTAATTTTAATATACTTAGTGAATCCTCATCTATCCTGTTTTCACTTAAGAACCCAGGGTTCTGTGTTAATATTATCGATGAGACAAAATTATAGTTGCCATAGAAATAGGCTACATTACTTATTTTTCGTATTTTATTAATAATTCACATCTGCCCTATGACCTAAGGGCACTCAAAGCAATATGACCTAGTGTTTAGCCGTCCAGATTATACACTACATTTTCATGGTTCTAGTCCCGCTGGAGGTGTTGATAAGACCTATGCAAGATCGAAGCTGCAGTCCACTCTGGATAAGAATACCTTTGGGGTGGCAAAGGTACGTGAAATACAATTGAAGTGTGGGTCTACTTACATCAGTGTGGGAAAATGCAACTATCAGTCCCCTTATCACCTCAAATCAAATAGATTAACTAAACATATATTAGTGAAATTATGTTTCATGCATTGGATAAAATTGAC